TCCGTTGTTACACCCTGATTAAATTATTGCAAGGAGGATGCAGACATCTGAGAATTTGCTCTGGGAAACCTGAGGTTGAGCTGGGAATGAATCTTGTCTGCCTGTGTGGGTGTGGGGTGTGCAGGGAGTCAAGCTAGGCATCCATGGGCTCACTGGGGCCACTCACTGCAAAGGGGCTTTGGTCCCAGCTCAGTGGTGCGATTGTGGCTGCCAGAGTTGGCTTCTGGAGGGTTGGAAAGGATGTTTCCATTAACAGATGCTGCCCAAGGACAGTGAGTGCTTCACTCTTTGGTGCCTTGGTTGAGTCCTCTGCAAAGCCTGAAGGACCCTCCGAGCACTGCAGGACAGTGGGGAGGTGCTGCCTGACCTGAGGCTCCTGCAGCCCCTCTCAGGGCAGGGCCAAACCCAGCAGGGCTTTTGCCTTCATTCTTGGGCATCTGTCACAAATCATAAAGGTAGGAGAGCATTTATGAGGCATTGGTGAGAAAGAAAGCTTTAACAGTTATTCTTATGGACAAAGAAGGAAACTTTCCACACCCAGGAATCCAGACCTTACCGTTCACAGCAAATGGTGAATGCTGAACAGTGTCCAATAAATCTTGTACCGGACTTGCACTTCCAAAAAGCGCAGTATCCCCCTAGTAGCTGGCATGCATTTTTAATTCCTGTTATCATAGGGAAAGACACACAGAGAACAATTAAGGGAACAGTCTGGGAGAGCTGTGTATGTTTGCAGAAAGGCTGACACTCCCCGTGAATCTCAGGCCAGTAGATGGGCTCAGCTCAAAACTCCCCACAGACACATCTTCAAGAGCAACATGTCTCACCTAGAAGGACTCTTTCCCCCTAAATTGGGTGCACATAAGAGCGGAGAGTGGGAAGGACCAGCATGAGGAAGAGTCTTGCTGGCTGCCCAGCTGCATTCCCAACACTGCCTGCACCAGAACAGCTGGAAAGCAGGGGACTCCTCACATCCCACATACCTGTCCTGACTGTGCCATGATTGGTGTGACCTCTGAGGGAAACTCCTTGCCCAGCCTTTGCAGGGATCATGCCTTGGGGTAATGAGGTTTTGGGACACTCAGCTGATGCAGGACTAGATGAGAAGGGACAGCTTTGTGCCCCAGGCAACCAACCAATCCAAACAGTCCTGGGGCTCTCTCCCATCCCTGTACAGGGCAAGAGACCCTGAAAAAGGAACATCTGGGTGCAGAGTTGAAGCCTGAAGTCAAACCGTGTCCTGACGCACAGGAGAAGCCAGGCTTCTACCTTCAAGGATTCTCTCCATCCCAAATCTGTGTGCTATTGGATGGTTACTCAAATAACATCTCAAGCCCCGCTAACCTTTGCAGCCCTCCAACTAACATGGTCACTTGGTGGGACATGGAAAGCCACAATGATGGAGGATCACGTTTCCCCACCTCTCCTCTTCCCCTCTCACCTTCAACATCCTGGACCAACAGGAGGAGCAAAGGGAAGAGCAGGTACAGGATCTTCATGGCTGATCCACCTCTCCTGGCTCTTTACAGAGGGCTGCAGAGGGGACACCAAGGCAGTGAGGATGATCCTTTCCCAATGTTTTTTTCTATGATCTTCCATAGACTTTCCCTATAGAACTAAAGATCTTTTACTCCCTTAGGCTTCATGGATCAAACCCATGCCCTAAACACTCTGCCCAATCACTTTTCTTTGCTGCGATCAGGAAAGTCCTCTCAGCTTGGCTTGGCAGTGCCCATCCCCAACTCCAGAGCAGTCCCAGGATTCCCATTAAGGACACTCCCCAGCCCCACACTTGCCACTCCTGCCCCGTGCAGCCCCAATCCAGGGATGAACCAGAGGACAGGAAAGTGTCTTGGTGCCCAGAAATGGAAACGGAAATCAACCTTTGGAGTTACTGAAAGCCTGAAATGGTGGGAAAGCACTTTTCTGCAAAGGGAAAAATGTTTCCTTACTTTGCCAAGCAAATTCCTACTTTCCCAAGAAAGGAGCTCTCAGGTCCCTCCTGCAGCATCAAGGAACATTTCTAGTCTCTTATCTCCTTAGAAAAGCTTAGTTTCACCTTCCACATGTTCTGGGCTCCTAGACTTATATGAAGGCTTTTATTCTCTTTCCCAGACCACTCTGATGACCTAATAACACATCTGGATACGTCCAGCTGTTTGTCCTTTAGGTGAATCTGTGCAGATGGGCTTTGAGCTGAGAACCTGAATGGGCAGCTTTCCAGAAAGGGACCCCACAGTCACCTACCTGATGAAGGTCTTGGTGTTCAGGCAGCACTAAACTCAACAGGAATCACTTGGCTCTAGATGCCCTTGGGGTCAGGGAATGCTACTTTGCCTAAAACAGCCTGGTTTTATACTCCTCCTGGTGGGTGGGACATGCCCTTATTGCTGCTGACACAACTGCCCTTGGCCAACCAGGCAGTGCCCCATCAGTGTGGGGGTTGTGGGGCTGCCCCTCGTCCCTCCCTGCTGCAGTGGCAGAGGCTGAGGGGCCTCCTGGGGCTGTTGCAATGTCACCCTTATTCTCCTGCAACACATCCTTTGACACACGAGCTGGGCAGGAGCTGCCTGGAATGGGGGCACAGTTTTGCTCTGTAGAGGTGAAGGGTGCTCGTGGTGACCGCTCAGGGTCAGTGTCAGGAGAGGAGAGCACAGGGGGAGGAAAGGCCGTGGCAGAAAGGGCTGATCTGAAAGTCCCTCACTAAACTCTTCATTTCTGGAAAGCAATGGCAGTGAAAGCTTTTTTGAGATCAGTCCCTTCTCCCAGGGAACAAGAGAGAGGACCAGAGAAAATGGCCTCAATTACACCAGGGAGGTTTAGTTCAGGCATTAGAACAATTTCTTCACCAAAAGTGCAGTCAGGAACTGGCAAAGCTACCCAGGGTATTGTGGAGTCCCCATCCCTGGGGGGATTCAAAACCACGTAGATAGGGAACTGGGGACATGGTTTAGTCATAATGTACTTGTCAGGGACAAGGGACACCTGTGACTGGCAGGACCAGGACACAGGTCCTACTTCTCAAAGGGAGCACCTGCAGAGTTGCTCCATCACTCCCACAACAAACACTCTGCACCAACAGGCACTGACAGGTTCTGTGTCCCCACTCCACTGCCAGGCAAGAGCATCCCCAGGGACACACACACTGGTCAGCCCCAACATCCCCAGCTGCTTCTCCTCACACCAAGCCACCTTTGCCACCCCCACAGCCAGCAGGCACAGCACAGCCTCCATACCAAGGGCACACACACACAGCCCAGCCCTGCAATGCCAAACTGCTCATCTTTATTCAAGTTGGGAAAAGCAGCCTCTGCCCCACAGACCCCATGGCTGGGATGAGATGTCTCCAGCCCAGCAGCACCCAGCAGGAGTAGCTGCCACTGCTGCTGTGCCAGCAGCTGGGCATGGCAGAGGGAGGGAGGGGAGAGGACATCAGGAGATGGTTCCAGGAGCCAGAAGCAAGGGGAATGTCCTGCTTGGACATTTCAGGGTCTCAACCCCACATGCTGTACAAAGAAAGCAGAGAAGCACGTCAGCTCTTGTAACTTTCCCTCCCACTCTCTCTCACCTCCCCCGCAAGGACCATCCAGTCTGTGGTGCAGGAGACTCAGGCTCAGCACAGGTGAGGCCCAGTCCTTCATGCAGACAGTTTTGATCAGAGTTATCTTAGTGGTGACAGCCCTGATTCCAAGTCTGTGCAGAGGCAGCAAAATCTGAATCATGTCTTCAGTGCTGCCCAAGGACAGCAAATGCTTCACTCTTTAGTGGTTTTGGTGAGCCCTCTGCAAAGCCTGAATAAGCCTCCTGGCCCTGGAGGTGAGTGGGGAGACACTGGCTGACCTGGGGCTTCTGCAGTCCCACTCTGAGCTGGTCCAAACCCACAAGGTCTTTTGCCTTCCTTCTTGGGCCTCTCCCACAGACCATAAATGGAGGAGATTATTTATCAGGCATTAGCTAGAAAGAAATTTCTAACAGATCTTTCTGTGGAAAAAGAAGGAAAATCTTTTTTCAGCCAGGGTTCTTGTCCTTACCTTTTGCAGCACACACTGATTCTTGAGCATTGTCCGACTGGTGTTGTGGGGTAGCGGCAACGCCCAAAAGTGCAGAATCCCCCTCGCCGTCTGCATCCAGCTGAATCTCCTGTTTCCATGGGCAAAGACACACAGAGAACAATTACAGTGACAATTTGGGAGAGCTGTGTGTTGTGCAGGACAGCTGAAACTTCCTGTGAATTTCAGGCCAACAGATGGGCTCAGCTCAAAACTCCCTATAGATACATCTTCCATTGCAAGGAGGACTTTTCCCTCCTATATTGGGTGCACACAAAAGCAGAGAGTGGGAAGGACCAGCATGAGGTCATAAAAGAGCCTTGCTGGCTCCCCAGCTGCATTCCCAACACTACCTGCACCAGCACAGCTGGAAAGCAGGGGACTCCTCACACCCCACATGACTATCTTGGCTGTACCATGATTGGTGTGACCTCTGAGGGAAAGTTCTTGCCCAGCCCTTGCACGGATCATGCCTTGGGGTAATGAGATGGATGCATCACAAGATGAGAAGGGACATCTTTCAGGCACTTAAAGAGGAACATCTGGGTGCAGAGTTGGAGCCTGAAACCAACCCCCTTCCTGACCATGAGGACAAGCCAGGCTTCTATTTCCAGGGGCTCTACCCACTCCACTTCTGAGGTGGGTGACCTGTATCCACCACCCCGTATCTGTTGGATGTTCACTTGAAAAACTCCATTTTCCTCAATCCCCCCCAGCATTTACATCCTTCTAAGTAATGTGGTCAACTCCAAGGCCATGAAAAACTCCAGTTATGGGGGCTCAGACTTCCCGCTAAATCCCCTCTTTCCCTCTCACCTGCAGCACCCTGGACCAGAAGGAGGAGCAAGGGGAAGAGCAGGTACAGAATCTTCATGGCTGATCCACCACTCCCACGTCTTCACAGGGCTGCAGAGGGAACACCAAGGCAATGAGGACATGGAGGGCCCCAGGGGGTGTAGAAGCCTGGGCACTGGGGTTCCCCAAACTGCAGAGGGGCTGCCTCCAAACACAGCACGTGATCTTTCCTCTACCTTTCTTTTAAGAACAATTCTGAGATCTGTGCCACCTTGCAAACCTTGGGAGTGTATTGTGATGTCTCAGTCTCTGGGAAATCCATTACCTAAGATGATCCTCTTCCAATAACTTTGTATAAGTTCTTCCATGGGCTTTCCCCAGAGAACAGACTGCACACCTGACCCCAATTCTTGCCCATTCCATCCAAAAAAAGTTTCTATTTGCCCACAAAGAAGCTCTCAGGTCCCTCCTGCAGTATCCAGGCACCTTTCCAGTCTCTTCTCTACTTAGGAAAGCTCAGTTTCGCGTACCACATGTTCTCAGCTCTTAGACTCATACGAAGGCTTTTATTCTCTTTCCCAGACATCTCTGATGGCCTAAGAGCACATCTGGATACTTCCAGCTGTTTGTCCTTTAGGTGAGTCTGTGGAGATGGGCTCTGAGCTGAGAATCTGAATGGTCAGCTTTCCAGAAATAGACCCCACAGTCACCTACCTGATCAAGGTCTTGGTGTTCAAGCAGCAGCAAATCCAACAGGAATCACTTGGCTCTAGATGCCCTTGGGATCAGGGAATGCTGCTTTGCCTAAAACAGCCTGGTTTTATACTCCTCCTGGTGGGTGGGACATGCCCTTATTGCTGCTGACACATCTGCCCTTGGCCAACCAGGCCATGGTCCATCAGTGTGGGGGTTGTGGGGCTGCTGCTTGTCCCTCCCTGCTGCAGTGGCAGAGGCTGAGGGGCCTCCTGGGGTTGTTGCAATGTCACCGTTATCCTCCTGCAACACATCCTGTGACACATGGGCTGGGCAGGAGCTGCCTGGGATGGACAAGGCATCCTGGTTGGTGCTGGGAATGGTAGCAATGAGGAAAGGGTTTTCTTTTTGTCCTCTAATTTCAGAGATTCTGTAAATACTCAGGTAGCCAGAGATGTGCAAGGCCAGGCTAAATATTGCAAACTTGCAGATCTTCATACCTTGAGAGGAAAGTTTTACCTCTCATTTCACTTCATTAGGTTTGTCTGGGTTATTTGTAAATAGCTTGGAGAAAAGTTCATGCACTCTTGGAAAAAAGAGAGCCTTTCTCTTTTTCTTCCTCTTTTGATTTCTGTCCTCTCTGTCTGCCCTCTGAAACTCATGTGCTGACTGTCCACAGCACCATCAGTGTGGCTCAAGATGTTCTGGCCCAAGGAGCCCCTGGGGTCGGGGCACAGCTTTGCTTTGCAGACGTGAAGGGTGCTCGTGGTGACTGCTCAGGGTCAGTGTCAGGAGAGCAGAGCACAGGGGGAGGAAAAGCCATGGAAGGCAGGGATGATCTCAGCATCCCTCACTAAACTCTCCATTTCTGGAAAGCAATGGCAGCGGAAGGTTTTATGGGCTTGGTCCCTTCTCCCAGGTAAAATGTGACAGAAGCAGAGAAAATGGCCTCATGTAGCAACAAGTGAGGTTTAGATGCTTGGACTCAATGATCTTAGAGGGCTTTTCCAACATTAATGATTCTTGTAAGGGAAAGCCTTCCCTGAACCATCCCAGGGTCACCAGTTCCTCCCAAAGACATGGACACACACAGGTATTGAACCACTCAGAACCCAAAGCCTGCGCTTTGCTTTTCCAAAGAGGGAGGGGCCACTGCCTTTGTTGGAGCAGATTGATGTCAATGCAGATTGACTCCAGATGGAGCAGAGATATCAGGTCACTCTGCTTACTCCCTGTGGGATTACAAATTTGAATATTTCCAGGCAAAAATGGGACCTTTTCCACAGGCCACCTGGCCCAGGAGCTCTATGACCTCCTCCTCTTCCTGACAGGTGGGACAGGGTGTGGAGCAGCACAGCTCCTGCACTGCCCACAGCAAGAGGGGCTGAGCAGAGAGGAACAGGACAAGGAGTAGCATCAGGGACAGGTTGTGTGGGCAACCATGGCCATGCCCATCCAAGGGATACACCACCAACCACAGCTGTTCACATGAACCTGGGGTTGTAAGGGACAGGGGACATCTGTGACTGGCAGGACACTGGCACCACTTCCCAGTGGGACCATGTGCAGAATTGCTCCATCACTCCCACAACAAACACCCTGCACCAACAGGCACTGACAGGCTCTGTGTCCCCACTCCACTGCCAGGCACGAGCATCCCCAGGGACACACACACTGGTCAGCCCCAACATCCCCAGCTGCTTCTCCTCACACCAAGCCACCTTTACCACCCCCACAGCCAGCAGGCACAGCACAGCCTCCCTACCAAGGACACACACACACGGCCCAGCCCTGCAATGCCAAACTGCTCATCTTTATTCAAGCTGGGAAAAGCAGCCTCTGCCCCACAGACCCCACAGCTGGGACGAGATGTCTCCAGCCCAGCAGCACCCAGCAGGAGCAGCTGCCGCTGCTGCTGTGCCAGCAGCTGGGCATGGCAGAGGCAGGGAGGGGAGAAGACATCAGGAGATGGTTCCAGGAGCCAGAAGCAAGGGGAATGTCCTGCTTGGACATTTCAGGGTCTCAACCCCAGGTGCTGTACAAAGAAAGCAGAGAACCATGTCAGCTATTCTAACTTTTCCTCCCACTCTCTCCCACCTCCCCCACAAGGACCATCCAGTCTGTGATGCAGGAGACTCAGGCTCAGCACAGGTGAGCTCCAGTCCTTTGTGCAGACAGTTTGGACCTGGGTTATCTTAGTGGTGGCAACCCTGATTCCAGGTCTGTGCAGATGCAGCAAAACTTGGATCATGTCCTCAGTGCTGCCCAAGGACAGCAAATGCTTCACTCTTTGGCGGTTTTGGTGAGTCCTCTGCAAAGCCTGAATGAGCCTCCTTGGACTGGAGGAGAGTTGGGAGGCACTGGCTGACTTGGGACTCCTGCAGCCCCACTCAGGGCTGGTCCAAACCCACGAGGGCTTTTGCCTTCCTTCTTGGGCCTCTCCCACCAACCATAAATGCAGGAGATTATTTAACAGGCATTGACACAAAACGAATTTGTAACAGATTTTTCTGGACAAAGGAGGAAACTCTTCCCTCTGCCAGGAATCCAGACCTTATCTTTTGCAGCACACACTATACAGGGTACATCTTCCAATAGGTCTCGCAGGGAAGTTGCATCTTCCATAAGTGCAGTATCCCCCTCGCCGTCTGCATCCAGCTGCATTTCAGGTTTCCATGGGGAAAGATACACATAGAACAATTAAAGCAATAATCTCTGAGAGCTGTGTTTGGTCACAAAAGTGTGTGCATTCCCTGTGCATTTCAGGCCAACAGATGGGCTCAGCTCCAACCTCTCCACAGCAAAGATCAACCACAGTGCAAAAGGTCATCCAGAAACACCAAAACAGGAATAGTTGGGTGCAGGGTTGGAGCATTAAACACAACCCCCTTCCTGACCCACAGTAGAAGCCAGGCTTCTATTTCCAGGGGCTCCCTCCAACCCCTGTCTGTGTTCACTTAGATAATCACTGGAGATCCACCTTTCTCCTCAATCTCCCCTACCCTTCACATCACTCCAACTGAGGTAATCACTTCCTGGGACATGGAAAACCCCAATGATGAGGGTTTATACCTCCTGCTATCTCCCCATTTGCCCTCTCACCTGAAGCACCCTGGACCAGAAGGAGGAGCAAGGGGAAGAGCAGGTACAGGATCTTCATGGCTGATCCACCACTCCCACGTCTTCACAGGGCTGCAGAGGGCACACCAAGGCAATGAGGACATGGAGGACCCCAGGGGGTGCGGAAGCCTGGGCACTGGGGTTCCCCAAACTGCAGAGGGGCTGCCTCCAACCACAGCACATGATCTTTCCTCTACCTTTCTTTTAAGAACAGTTCTGAGGTCTGTGCCACCTTACAAACCTTGGGAGTATTCCTTCATGTCTCAGTCTCTGGGAAATCCATTAGCTAAACTGATCCTTTTCCAGGAAACCCCACAGTTACCTACCTGATGAAGGTCTTGGTGTCCAGGCAACAACAAACCCAAGAGGAATCACTTGAGTCTAGATGCCCTTGGGTCCAAGGAGCACGTTTTTTGGCCAAAATGCTCTGATTTTATATCATTGCAGATTGCAGGAACATTCCCTTATTCTTGCTGACACATCTCCCCTGGGCCAATCAGAAAGCCATCATCTGTGTGGGGGTGCTGGGGCTTCCCCTTCTCCCTCCCTGCTGCAGTGGCAGAGGCTGAGGTGCCTCCTGGGGCTGTTGCAATGTCACCCTTATCCTTCTGCAATACGTCCTGTAACACCTCCTGCACAGCAGCACATGGGCTGGGGGGGCCTGGCATGACCTGCCAGGCATGGGTAGAGCAGGCTGGTTGATGCAGATTCCAGTAGAAATCAGTCCCAACCATTCTTTACTGTGTGAGGCCCTGGCACAGGTTGCCCAGAGAAGCTGTGGCTGCCCCATCCCTGGAAGTGTTCAAGACCATGTTGGCCAGGGCTTGGATCGACCTGGGATAGTGGAAGGTGTCCCTGTCCTTGGTAAAGGGTGAGATGAGATGATCTTTAAGGTCCCTTCGTCCCCAAATCATCCCGTGATTCCGTGATAAAAAGATAAAATATTTGTCTCTTCCTTTCTTGTCATTTTACTCAGTGAGCTGGTGCTGTGTGACGTGCAGAAACATGCAAAATATTTTGGTTTTCTTCTCTTTTAACAGCTTCATCCTTGCCAAGGTGAGTTGCGTTTGACATGCTGAGAAGTGTCAAGCTCCAGGTTGTCTTTCTCATGCGTACTCAGATCAACAACAGCGGTCAAAGGAAAAACAATCAGATGAGACCACACCTCACCTCACCCTATCTGAATGCACTGCTCCTAAAACTGCCATTCTTGGTATAAAAACTGCAAATGTGATTCAGCAGAAGCAAAACTCCGTGTAAAGGTGTGCAAACTAAGGGAGATTATTGAAGGAAGGTGAATAGGGCCTTAGTAGGCCTTGGAGATGTGGACTTGATCAAGAGAATTTGTGGATTTATAGGAAATCTATGATGTTTCAGAAAGGTAAAGATCAAGGTGGATCATGAAAAAACAGCCGATGGGATAGAAAGAAGCAAGGCATCCCTTGTGGCATGTCATGTGGCCCAGCTCAAGTAAGCATGGCCATGCCTGACATCTGATCACCATAATCTGTCCTGTATTCCAAGTAAACTTTAATTCTAACCATTTTATGCACAAACAGTCTGTCTCTGGCATGTCTCCATGGCTGTACAGTCCTCTAGCAAGCTTCAAACCAGAGCACTGGGTATGGGAGAGAACACCAGGAGTGTTGGTCCATTGCCCAGAGATACCAAAGTTCTGAGAGTTGAATCCTGGAGAAAACAAAGTGGCTTGAGGTTGGATGCATCAGGGACACAGAGTTTGGTGCCATCTATCAGAGACACACATAGAATCATGGAATAGTTTGGGTTGGAAGGAACCTTTAAGATCATCTCATTCCAAGACCCTGCCATGGGCAGGGACACCTTCCACGAGACCAGGTTGCTTAAAGTTTGTTCAACCCAGCCTTGATGCATGATGGGGATATTCCCTGAACATCAATCCACAGAAGTAGGATTGGGCATCCATTGTTAAGTCTTTGTGGATGTAAAAGTCCTGGGAGGTTTGGTACCAGGCTCAGGATCAGTCCAGAACCAGCAGAGCCAAGGACCCTTTATGGTGTGGAAAGGTCTTCTCGTCCACCCTGCAGGGAGGCCCTGGCTGGGGATCTTGTGCTGGACCCCACCAGAGAGGCAGCTCGGCCCTGCTGATCCAGACCTGGATGTGTACTCACAGTTGACATCCCGGCCTGGCTTTGGCCCATCCCCACAGAGATGCCCAAAGCCCCAGGCAGAGGCTGCTCCCACTCCCTGTCTGCCCTGTTCCCTGGTGGGGGGCAGTGGGATGCCCCCTGCCCTCACAGCCCCCATGGTGACTGACCCATGGCAGTGTAGGGGCCACTCCCATGGCATCCCCGAGCTGAGCATCATGGATCTGCTCCAAGGATCATCCACAAGGCTGACCCACCTGGGCTCCTAACTGAGCCACCCAAGCCTATAACCAGGCCTGAAACCCCTCCAGCACTGACCCTTAACTCAGTCCCAAGCTCTTAAGAAGCCCCATGGCACAGCCATCAGTCTCCATTTCCTCTGAAGCAGAATGGCTTCCCCCACCCCCAGCTACCCCCGGATCCCACAATAACCCCATGGTGCCACACACCCAGGCCCCACAGCTGGGGATGGACCCAAATGTGTGTGTCCAGTGGAACAGCCCCACGAGGACTCCTGACCAGGCTTGGGAGGCAGAGGACAACCAGTAGGCCACCCACTGAAATTAGGGGGGTCATAGCAACCAATCGATCCCTGAACCCAAATGGGACACGCAGGGGTGGCCTTGCTGAGCAGGAAGGCTGGTGCTGGGCTCCCTGTGGGTGTCACATGCACCCCCCCTCCCTCCATGGATGGGATGCTGGTGTGGTTGGGCCAGCTTGGAGAGATGGTGGATGTGGAGGGGTTTTTTTTATGGGTCCATGTCTATCAGGAATTCCCCCCATCTGCTCTGCCCTTCCCTGCAGCCAGAGGAAAGAGACGCACACTGAGGACACACACAAATCTTGGCAGCGGGAATGCAAACCACCACCCTGTATTGGGGACACTGGGTTAAAGGGATTCCTGTGGGATCATGGTCTGGCTGTCCAGGGCTGTCGCTGCTCCCGGCGGTGCTCGGTGCCTCCACACAGCATCATCCTGACCACGCAGAGAGGGCAAGGGCTGCTCTCAGAGACTGGCACCAGGGATCCAGGAGCCTCTCAGGGATACCATCGCCTACAGGAGGAAAGGTCTGGCAGTGCCTGTCCCAGCCAAGGCAGCTGAGAAGGTTCAGGGATGTCCCCGTGCCCTTGGGCTGCAGATTCCCCCCATTCTTTCTCTAACAGCCTCATCTCTAACCCCTCAGAGCCCTCTGAGTAACCCTGGACTTACATCCGACAGCAGAATTCCTGCTCAGAGCAGAGGCCAACACGGCCGATCCCGGGAGGGCAGGACCGGTGGGAGCAGAAGCCTCCACGGCGCTCGCATTCCTGGTGGGATCCTCGAGCCAGGGACAGCCCTGCAGAGAACCGGGGGAGGAGACCTTCAGGGCAACCCTGATGAGGTGGTGAGCACAGCCCCTGGTCCCTGTGTGGCCAGCATTGGCCCAGCCCTGCCTGTCCCTTGCCATGGACAGTGAGCAGGTGTCTGCAGCAGAAATCAAGGGATGGGATGGTCACTACCACCCCTCAGCAGGCTCTGGGAGAGGCTCTCCACCATGCCTGCTGCCTCCCTTCTAGAAGAAGAGAGGAATCCAAAGGTAAAGGCAGGGTCTGCCTTCCTCCCACCTCCTCCTCTTCAGCACGACTGCTGTGCCCAGTGCTGCTGACTCAGAGAGGCAAGGGACAGGGGGTATGGAAATGGTGGTAAAACCTCATCCCTGGAACACAAGAGCTTTAGTACAAGGTTCCAGTTCCAGTCTCAACTGCAGAACCTGCAGCAGGAGCCTTTCCTTAAAGGTATGGGATGAGAGGGACCCCAGGGAGGATGGCACAGCCACCAGGAGAACTTACACGTGACTCATCAGCTCAGCTGGCAAATCCTCCCTACAGAATACCAACAGAAGACAAACCCTCCACCTCCTCCTCCACATTTCTTACCTGTCATTCCCAGGAGCATCAGGAGGAGCAGAGAACAGAGGACAGGCAGGATCCTCATGGCTGGGAGTCACCAGCAGTGTCACAGCTCTGAGGAGAAGAGAAAGGAGGCAGAGATGAATGGGAAGATCCCTGCCTGTGGGTTCTGTAGCACCTGCTCAGGGACAGAACTGAGGAGAAGGGATGTCACCAGTCACTGGCAGGAGGATGAGCTCAACAGCCCAGGGGTAGGAGCTCCCACAGCCTCTCAGCTCCTGGTGGCAGCAGTTTGGTCCCAGCCAGCTGGTCTCTCCACGTAGCACAGTGTCCCTTGGGATGGCTGACACCTCAAAAAGTTTCTTTTCCTGTTTCTTCCCCTACCAGAGAATAAGAAGCATAGTTTTCCTCCTCTGACACCTCCGAGAAGGATTCCCAGGCCTCCAGCCAGGGATCTTGTGTCATCCCGCCTTGCGTAAGGGCCGCTCGGTGCTGTGGTTTGCTGGACACCTCTTGGGACACACACAGCATCCCTGTTCGTTAGACCTTGGCCAGCAATCAGCTTTCACAACACAAAGGAGCTCTGTCCTCCTCCCCCCATGTGAAGCGTGCTCTCTATGCTTCACTGCAAAATAACTGGGAAGACGCCACATGGGATGACATCGCCGTCCAACTGGCAGCCCTGTGAAGGACAAGCTTTAATTGTGCCTTTGTTTCGTGGAGTTTTGCTGTATGTAACCCTTTACTGGTTCTCAGTGTGTTGGTGGTGCATCTTCATATATGTTTTCAGCCTTCTTGAAGATTCATTGAGCATTATGTGTCTGTGTGTGTATGTTAAAAACATACTCGTGCATAGTAATGTGTATTCCCTGAGTGTTGCATGAATCATAGAATCACAGGATAGCTTGACTTGGAAGGGACCTTAAAGCTCATCTCATTCCAACTCACTGCCATAGGCAGGGACACCTCTCACTAGACCAGGTTGCTCCAAGCCTTGTCTGACCTGGCCTTGGACACTTCCAGGGATGGGTCAGCCACAGCTTCTCTGGGCAAGCTGCACCAGGGCCTCACCACCCTCATAAGTTCAAAGAGGGCTCTTAGGGCACTGAGGTGAGCAGACGTCCTGTTCTTCACACTTTTTTCCCATGAAACAGTGTCCTCTCTCAGACCCACACAGAGGGAGAGGGGCTGTGCTAGAAGACTGACAGCAGCACCATTGCCAGGAGTTGGACTCAGTGATCCTTGTGAGCCCCTTCCAACTCAGGGTATTCTATGATTCTGTGATTAATTGGGACGTAGTAGAAACCTAGAGGCACAAACTATGATTTTGTGTGACCAACCATTCCACCAAGGACTTGATATGTGTCTCAAATGAGTTTTAGCCACTGCACATCTGGCTG